GAATGAGAACAAGGTGGACTCTACCAGCATCTCTTTTTGTCTTATCACTGAGACTGACCACTGTGCTGTCTCAGCTTAACTAAGTTGACAGAGCACAAAGCATCATATTTATATATCACATGTAATGCATATGTAATTCACATTCAACAAAACTGAAGTTCTCCTTAATTTGTGTGAAAGCACAAATTTTGAATATGTAAGCTTATTGAAAAGTTACTTGAGATGACATAGGTATAATATTTAAGAGACAGGACTCTGATACACATAACATTAATTCTGTAAAATATGTAATTTTATATGATGGAATGATCCCTCCAAAACTAAAATGAACAGACATGTTCCAGAAGAAGTACAAATGGCCAATAAATACATGAAAAAAATGTTAGCCATCTCTAGAGATATGCAAATTGAAAGAACACTTAGATTCCATGAAAGGATGGCTGTCACCAGGAAATCAAATAATAACAAAGGGAGGAGAAGTTGTGGGAGGCAGGGAAGGAAGCTTTTTTATTACTTGGGGAAATGTAGGCTGCTACAGTATTACAAGAATCAGTGTATAGATTCTTGAAAAAACTAAAACAAGAAATTCCATTTGACCCAACAGTTCCTTTCATAGTTGTCTTCTTAAAGAGTTAAAGTCATCATATTACAGAGATGCATGCATACCCATGCTTATAGAAGACAACTCATAATAGTTAAGTCTTGGAAGCAACTTACATGCCCATCAACAGGTGAATGGATGAAGGAAACGTGGCATTTGCACACAGTGGAGTATTGTTTTTAAGGTACCGGGGATTAAACTTAGGACCTTGTGCTTGCCAGGCAAGCATTTATTCTACTGAGCTGTCTCCCCAGCCCCACAGTACAGTATTAATCTCCCATAAAAAGGATGAAATTGAGTCATCTGTAGGAAAATGGAAGCACCTTGAGACTATAATGTTAAGTAAAAAGAATCAGATACACAATCTTAAATATTGTATGTTTTCTTTTACATGAGAAACCCAAAATATAAACAGAGAGCAAAATAAAAGATACATAATAGAGGAAAAAGAGATGGAGGGAGGGGAGGGAAGAAATGGAGCCAGTAATGGAAGGAGGACAAGGGGACAGAAAAAGAATTAAGATGTATTATGTATATGTACAGACTCCTGATGACCAATTAATCATTATATACTACAAATGTATAATAAAAAAACTAAATAAGATAAAATGTATAAAATGCTTAGATTAGTATTAGAGAAAAGAGTCCTTCTTTTGCTTTTCTGTTTACATATATATTCCAAGAGTGTATCTAGGCAAATGCTTGGCATGTAGTATACACTCAGTAAATTTCAGTTGAATGAAAAAAATTGCCAAATAAGAATGTAAAAATATTGGCCTTTTCCTGCCTACCAGGCCATGAGCTGTTTCTCCTCCACCAGCAACGTCTGTCAGGCAGCCCTTGGACCCAGTGCCTATGAATTGCAGCCTCTCCACACTGCTCACAGTTAAGAGTTTGCCTTAAGTTTCAGAGGAGATCTTGGCCTTGGACTTTTCCGCAATGTTGAATTTTGACAAATCTTGGAAATAAAGTACATGCACAAGTCTTTCAGGAGTCTGGGATGGAATGATATGGTTTATATCTAGATGTCCTGCCAAGGCCTCATATCATTGACAGGGCTTTGGGAAGGTGACTGGGCTATGGAGTTTTATAACTGACTTGCTGTTGGAGGTATGGGCTGAGGAGAAGTGGCAGGTGTCTGCAGGTGTGGCCTGAAAGGGTTTCTCTCCCTTTGCAGCTACCTTCTTGACTCACACTGCTTCCCAAATACCATGCTGTGAGCAGTGCTCCTCCATTGGGCTCCCATGTCAACCACATAATCCATGGAATCTGGTGACATTGGCGATCCTGACCCCAAACGACTCTGGCTACTGTGTGCATTTGTGCCTTAGGGTCACCACACCTGGCTTAAAAGCCGTCTTCCTTGGGATTTTTAATTTAAGCAATTGGCTGGTGTGTACCTCAGTAATAGAGTACATGCTTATTAGAATGCAAGAAGCTATGGGTTTGATACCTGGACTATAAAAGAAACCAACTGAGCTAGGCATGGTGGTGCTAGCACTGGGAGGCTAAAGAAGGAAGAACATTGAGAATTTGAGGGCAGCCTGGGATATATGGTGAGTTAAATCCCAGCCTGAATTATACAGCAAGAACCTGTTGTGAAAATCCAAACCAGACCAAAACAATAAAAATTCACTCAACTCAAAGGAGTGACTGTGGAGCTCTAGCCTTGGCAAGAGGAGAGGTGTTGTGTTTTGGGGTTTTGCAAGGGGAAACAATACAATGCAGGCCACCTAATTATAAGATTATTTTGTAATAGTCACCCAAAGAGTCATTTGCAAAAAGAGTGCAGGAAATGTGTCCACACACTAAAGACCAAAGAATCCAGCTGGGGGCCTGAATCCCATGATAATGTCCTGCATGAGTCCACCTGAAGACCTGGAGCCCATGACAATGCTTGCCAGGAGTCCAACTAGAGGCCAAGAATCCATGACAATGCTTCATTCAGGCCTGCTTCATGTATCTGCCCTGGGAAGGCCCAAAGATCAGTGGTGGAAGGTAGAAAGTCTGTGCCAGTGGGATGGAGGTTCTGTGCCAGCAGGCTGAGGGACCTGCACTGGAGCCAGGAAGCAATGTTCTAGGTAAGAACCAGAGTTCTCCCTGAAAGGTACCACAGCCATCTTCAGCAACGGTGAGGTACTGAGCTCCTCCAGCGATGAGAATAGCCAGGCTCCTATCAGAAAAGCCAACATGTCAGGCTACTCCAGGAGACTGAGTAGTGTACCATTTTCCCCTCCAGAGCCAGGAAGTGATGCTCAAAGTGAGGACTAGAATGTACTAAAGTGAATCGTAGCCATTCTCAGTGACAAGGTCCCAAGCTCCTATGGCGATGAGAACAGTTGAGTTCATCAAAGAAGTCAGCATGACAAGGCCCTCTAAGAGAACGAACAGCTCAGACAGCTCCCGACAGCCCCTCTTCTTTTCCAGTTCTGCCTCTTTGCTGCCAGCAACAATCCTCAGCTGGGCCTCCCACACCCAACACCATGCTGGTTCAGTTCAGCTGGGTGTTACAAGTTGATCACCAGTTGGCAATCCACTGCAAGAGGCTGACTTCACCCAGCGTCTGTGAGCCTGGAAGCAAACATGGAAGTAAGGAGGTGCCCTCCTGCCCTGATTCAGAAAGACTGAAGACACTGTTTTTACTTTAAGCTCCAAATCTCAACTGGTCATGGTGATGTGCACCTGTGATCCTAGCACTATGGGAGGCTGAGACAGGAGAATCATTAGTTTGAGTCCTGGCTGGGCAACTTAGGGACAGAAGGAGAATTTGTCTCAAAATAAAAAGGGTTGTGGATGTTAAAAAAAGTAAAAATATATTATATCCTTTATTTTTCAACAAATTTTCTTTTTATTGCTAGGGATTAAACCTAAGGCCTCACACATTTGTGTACTACACACATTTGTACCACTGAACTATGTCTTTAGCCCTTTTAACCTTTGCAATTAACAGATTTATTGTAGCAAATTTAAAATAAAACAGAAAAACATAAAGTAGTTTGCCTTAATTTCCATTGTTCAGAAAAAACCAACACTAAAATTCTATTATATTTCTTCCCTAACCTCTCAATAAATCATTTCTTGATTTCCTTAAAAGTGAAAAGCCATGTTACATATACATGGTTTTGTGGCATTTTAAAAATTCTTAATATATTATGTACATTTATACACTTAACTAATGGTTAAGAAAATGAATTTTACTATCCCTGTGATACTTCATTCTAAAAATATAATAATCACTTAAACAACCCCATGCTATTGGAGAACTGTTTCCAGTTTTTGCTATGACCAATGGTGCTACAATTAAGAAACTGTGTGAAACTGAGTTTTCCCTTTCACTGTATTGCTAAAATTAGCATCACTACATCAGAGGACATCAGCAATACTGAAGGTTTTGAATCATATTATCAAACTGCTCTAGGAAAGGGATACTGCACCAATCTGAAAATATCTCAAAAGTTAAATAAAAGCCTCTCTTTTCCTGCATCTACTGTAGTGCCGGATGTTATAATTAATATTTTTACGGTGCCAGGCTAAATTAAATCCTTAAACTTAAATAAAACTTTTGGAGACTTTATAGAATCACCATCGAAAGAATGCTTCACTTTGGTAAGATTCAATTTAGTGCAATACTTCTAGGCATGTTGTGCATTAACAATAAAGGTCAGAAGTTATAACATCTTATCTTTTATTTAGATAATAATCTTTTCTGTTTTTTTTTTTTTTTTTTTTGGTACCAGGGATCAAACTCAGGACCTTGCATTTGCCAGGCAAACACTTACTCAACTGAGCTATCTCCCTCGCCCCAATAATCTTTCCTTTTAAAAATTATATTGTTAGTGAGAAATCATAAACCTTTTAGTAATCCTATTCCATCACATAGTTTGTCCTTAAGATGTTTCTTGTTAAAGATCTTGATTTAAATTAATTTCATTGAAAAGAAAGTTTTGTGCTTATTTCGTTTGACCAAATTTTCATGCCTGTATCTTGTAATCTGAGCAACTATTGTGAAGATCGCAATAAGCAATTTACTAACTATTGTTACTCTTCTAGCTTGGTTTGAAATTTTATATCGCTGTTTTTAGTGGTTTTTTCTCTTTAAAGGAAAAAAATCCTATAAAAATAAAAAACTTTAAGTTTGCAATATAGTAAAAATCAATTAATTATTCTTTAATATGAAAATGTTAATATTTTGGCAACCTAGACTTATTTTTGCATTCTAGTTGCTACTAAATATATTAAGGAATGAACATTTTCATATTGAATGTTGCACTGAAAATAGTTTCAAAATTTGTACTCAGAATTTGATTTAGCATCCATTTAGGCAGATGCCAAGAACAAATTGTTCATAATTTGATACTCAAAAATAAGCATTTTTTTATGATTTCTTTCTTAACTTTAGGATCCTGAGAGAAGCCATTTTGTCTTAATTGCTGGGGAGCCATTAAGAGAACCAGTTGTCCAACATGGTAAGCCCTGGATGATGATGATTTCCTGACTGACCTTTGTTTTCTTCCAGAATAGTGTGCATATATGGTGTTCTTGGGCAGACTGGCTGGATGTTTTTATATCTTTTTATCAACAAATCTAAAGATTTTATTTGATTTGTCCATTGTCAGAAGAAAATACTCTGGTGGCATTCTTTCCTAGATGCATCTTTTTCTTTGCAAACAGAAACATTTAAGTACATATTTATGTGTCAGACATTGATCTGTGCAAAGAATAAGACAAATTTTTATTATGTCACTAGAGATTTCAACTTGAAAAAAGATTTTCAATTCTATTGGAGACTTGAATATCATGTTTTTAAACCTGAAGAAATTTTAACCTGTTATTACTTAACACATATAAGCAAACATGATTCAAACACATTAAGACCTATCTTCAACTCCTGCCTCATGTTCAAGACAGAACATTTAAGAAAGAAGAAAAAAAAGAAACTAGCTTTATGGGTCACAACATGACAATTGTAATCCCAAATGTGCTGAACTGGGCTTTGGCTCATTTCCTATGCTTTCTAATTAATTCTTTAGCCTTGAAACCAAACTTAGTGGTTACAACTTTCATCAGTTTAACCTGTATCAGGTTATCATCATTTTTTGTTTTTGTTTTGTTTTCTGATGTAGAGTCTCACTATAGTCCAGGCTCCATTCCTCTTGCCTCAGCCTCAGGTTTTGCAGGATCACAGGCTCCCACCAGTGTGCCTGGTTGTAATAATCCCTCTTATGTGTCAAATGCCACACTGAACTGTGAATTCCAGGTTGTAAAAGGGGATTTTTTTCCACCTGTCCATAAGTCTTAGTCAACAAATGAAACACACACACCCCAAATACAAATGTTTAAATATCATTTTTATCTTTACCAAAAATAATGGTGGTTTAATGCTTTTATTTCCTGTTGCTGTAAGAGAATGCATGAGACTAAATAATTTATGGAGAAAATGAGCTTGTTTGGGCTCACAGTTCTGGAGATTTGGAAGTCTAAGAACATGGCACTGGAAAGGCATTCAGGCTGCTTCAACTCATGGCAGAAAACAGAGGGGCAAGTGGGTGTGAGTAGAAGACAGAAATGCTCAGGGTAGACTTGCTGTGCGCATGACCCACTTCCATGGTAACTCATACAGACCCACAAGACCAAGAACTCATTCACTGATGAAAAATCATTAACCTCTCCTAATGACTGCATCACCTCTTAAAGTCCTACCTTGAGGCACAGAGGCAAACAAATTTTAGCATGTATTGTAGAGAGGACAAGCCACATTCAAACCACAGCAAATGCTGTCCTTATGGTCTGTTACATGTTTGGTGATCAGAGTGCTTTTCAAATGTTAATACACTTACTTGTCAAAACAACCTTTAAGAGAGAGATGCTCTCATCCTTATGCTGGACGTGAAGCAGCAGAAACACGGAGTCTCACTGCCCAACTTGAAGCTACAGAGTAGATTTACACTCAGACTATCTGGTCTCCAAGCACCCTGCCCTGTGACTCTCACCATGCTAGTCACTCTGCTTTGCACTGTCACTTTTCTCACTGGACACAGTAGTAGTGAACCTAGGTTATGAACCCTGACTCCTGATCCTGTCTTTTGTATTTTCTACTCTATGCCAAGAATCTGCATAAGAATCTATAGCTTTTTATTACAAGAGGAGTCCAAAGGTTCATTTAGAGTTGTAATTGGTAGTTTGAAAGACGACTTAAGGGAGTATGAATAATTTTCTTGTTTGTAAACCTTATAGATGATAAATTTAAAACTATATACTTTCTGGATTTCTTTTCCTGATTATAGGAGGGGATGTGCTTCCTCAACATGGCTTCGAAGGGCTTCAAGCTTTTAATGTTTCTTATGTAAATTATGTGCACATCACAACTTGAGAAACATAGCACACTACCCTAACAAACTGTCCATAAGGATTTCTAGAAGTGCACGACAGAAAAAGAATGAGGGTATAAGAATGGTGCTCTACAAGCACAAACCAAAGGAAAATGGTGATGCGCAGGAAATCAGTCCTTGGCCCTGTATCTGATATCAGTTTGCCAGTTCCATTATCTTTCCTTCATATGTCCTATAAAAAGTTGGCTTCTCCAGGCTGCTCTCCAGAATGTATTGTTTATTCTGTATGGAAGAGCTCTCTCATTGTTTCTTACCTGATTAAACTCCAAAGCTTGATTTCCACATGGATTTTTCCCATGACTCCTAATCTCAACATTATACTGACGGTCTCTGCCAAGAAGATAATGGATTGCTTCTGACACCTCCACATCAGAATATCTATGACCGCATTCTTTATTCTGTAACCAGACTGCTGTATCCTATATGCCAATTACCCTTAGCAACTCCACCATTGATCCAGCCTCATAGGCCAGACTCTTTATTTTCATGCTACAGGATTCTTTAAAGCTCCAGTTGACCCTGTGTTACTCCCAACTCAATCCTTCATTGATTCGTGATCACCTAAATAATTGTGTCCAAACTTCTCAAGGATGGCACTGAAAGCCCCGAATTGTCTGGCTTTGCCATCTCAGATCCCCATTGCTGTTCCCAATTCAGTCCTTTCTTCCAAACCTATGACTCTATCCTCCATGCTTCCAGCATACTAGTCCCGAAAATGTGCCATTCTTCCTTGTATAGCTGTTTAATGTCACTCCCTCTGGGACTCCTCTCCTAGATTCCTCCCCTTCCTCTTTTTTTATTTATTTTTATTTATTTTTCAAAGTTTTATTGATAAACAGATAGCAATGACACAGTTTCAAATCCAATCGGAAGTACAGTTTCAACAAATAATACACTGCATATATTCT